CTTCAGACACCGAGTCGGACTCCACCTCAGGAGCCCACAACATCTGACGAGCAGCTTTACCTAAAATGAGTCATTCAAACTGTATATATATATATTACAACATGTCAAATGTCAAATGAATATGCAGTATCAGCGCTAAAAAAAGTGCTGTGTCAGATAAGGTGCTAAAAGCGGCGTTGCGTCCATTTCTATGATCTTCAGCGCCTGAATCACGGCGACGCGAAAAGGTCACTTAGTTGCGCGGACAGGGTTGAGAAGTTTAGAACCAATTCACCAAATTCCCACAGTCAAGGACTGAAGCGGACCGTGCTCAAAACAAACCCACAAGTCAGTCCAACACATCCATATATTGCTATGAATGGCCCGAACCCCATATGTATGGCCCGATGGTAGGGGCTCCTCAAGCATTGCAACCTCTCCTTCACACAAGCATCTCACTGCTCGAGGTGAAGTGATGGGATTTTGCACAGCGAATCCACGGGGTGTGTTCAAGGCTAGTCGAAGTAGTTACTTCAGTGCCACTCTGTGCCACTGTTGCAGCTAAAAGTGGCGATGAGTTGTGCTCCAAAGCTACTAACCCGTCTGCACCTGGTCTTCCGTGATGCCCAGCGACTGCACCAGCCGTGGCCAGCGCTGCTTCACCTCCAAGTCTGGAGACAGTTCCGTCACATGACACATATGATATCACACGACACACAGAAATGTATATATATATAACTAATAGCAATAACAATAGGAACAAACATAATAGTAGTATATCTATATATCATTATCATAAATATATATATTATATCATATATCCAGTCTGTGTGTGTGCGTGTGTGTGTGTGTGTGATCACATGTGGGTCATATGCCATATGCATGTTGGACCCTGTTGCTGGTAACCTGCATATATATATATATTATGTTGGAACTTACGTTGGATTCAAGCCCCACCTGCTTGTATCCAAAGGGTGTGCCCAAGAAGTTGGCATCTAACACCTGAGGCGCGTTCCCGACACGGGGACCTTCATCGGGCTGCAGCACGTTGCCACGTTGGAATGCAACAAAAACCATCAAAAAACAACAACTCGGTTCGAACAAAAAAGCAAAACTGGGTGAGATGCTGTTTTGGGAGGCTTTGTCCTTGTTATCCTTTCCCCTTTTAGTGCGCCGACTAGTCAAGGTCCAAGAATTACCAATACAGGATTGCCAATACAAGCAAATGCTCTTGCACCAAGAGCAAGCAAGAGTCCAACCATCTTCACCGCCAAAACACCGTTAAAACATGCCAAAACATCCCAGCCGTGTCGGACCCCAAATCCACATCTTGTCAGCCGTGACGGGCCGTGTTGCCGACCCGATCTGAGGACACGGACCGCTTCGGGGTGTTGACGCAACACTGCTCTCCAAACTTGCCGTAGGTGAACATGGTGTGCATCCCTTATTGGAGCTTCAGTGAGCCCAAGGTGGTGCCACAGTTGGCTTGACTCAAACTAAACGCCTTTGAAGCAACTACATGCAGCTACATGAATGTGAAATATCTTGGACTTGAAGGAAATGCTGAATTCAATTCTGTGCCTCGACTAACAGTACATCCAAGCTGCTCTTCTGAAGCATCTTCCCATTCAGCAACACGTTTCGCCGCCGCACTCCTGTGTCACTTGGGTTTGCCTGTGACTGGGGGGCTGCATTCAGTGGACATCACGGATTCAGTGGTGGTTCCTAATGTTGTTCCTGCCATTTCCTGCCCATGTCACGTGTGCCCCGCAGCAGTGGTGCACTTCCCCAGCCTTCCCAACCCCCTTCTAATTAGTTTCTAGTCCAGCCTGGCAGCAAATGCGGCAATTGCGGCTACTGCTGATGCTGTCAGTACCTGTGCTGTTCAATTCTCAACTGCTTCAAGTGCATTCAACTGATTCAACATGATTGAATCATATTGAATCCATGCACTTGCGCAGGAAATGAACTGGTGTGCCTCAATGGCTAAGTATATGTCAGCGTGTCTGTCTTCAGGCAAGTCGCTGTTTCAGCTTCCAACCCTGCCAAAGTCACGGCAGCTGTCTCCGCAGTGGCTGCAACGCCACCGCTGGCCTAAAGGCAGGGAAGGTCTGTCGCCAGACTTGTTTGAAAAGCTTCCAGAAACAATTGAATTCAGTAATTCGGTCTATGTGATAAAGATAAAGATTCCACCACACATTTGAGGCCCCTCACTGACCTCACTGCCTCGCTCGCAAGCGGTGGTTGAACCAAAGCCCCGGTCGCTCCCACCAGCTCGCGCCGCCCTGCCCTGCCCGCTCGGTCGCTCCGCCCTACCAGTCCGTCCCCGCCTCGGCCATGGAGGCGGCGATGGTGCTGAGGGCACCGTAGGTCTCGCCCGCCGCGCCCAGCTCGGCACGCTCCATGAGGCGGAACTCGGCGCGCTGCAGGGCATCCGACATGGCCTCGGTCATCTGCCAGAGCTCCACCTCGGCCCCGGGGAGTCGGCCCACTCGGTGACTAAAAAAATGTATACAGTATTCTTACTAGTATTCTTCATGGAAGTGTGAAGTATTATGAACACTACATGTGAAATGACTGGGTTTTGCTGGAGGATCTTCTTTAGTTGGCTAGTGAAAAGTGAGCCTTGGCATCCTTGGCAGAACATGCAACCTTCCTTGTTAGCCTGACACTGTCGGAAACAAGATCCATGAACACAACTCGAAGGAAGAACTTGGGCTTAACACATTCCTTTCGAGTCACTCTTTACTGGGAAGCAAATGACCGCCCACATGTTGCAATTGAAGCCCCTCAGAAGTGGGAACCGCGGGTCTTGAATACCAGCTTCCACAAATCATGGAAGAATATATATTCAATGTGAAACAAAACATCATCTCCGTTGCAACATCCACTATAAAATGGGGGGAGGCAAGTCGGGGTCTCAAAAGCCATCATTCTTGATGCTTTCTCTTGAGTTGGCCCATGGGAATGTGAATGAGTCCTCGAAGCCTGGTATTTGGTGCGGCTTGGGAGCACGATCATAGTTGACAAAAGGCGCATGCTGTTTGATTTGTACAGAGCTGGTAGGAACACCAGTTAATTAGTAAGTTGTCAGCCATAAAAATCAAACCCAAAGCTGGAGATGCATGTCAAGGCTGGCTTGGAGATGTCATTCTTGCTTGCCTGCCTCATCCAGAACAAGCACCAGCCACAAGCCACATAGTCTGCATTTCTTCAATTTCCAAGGCACTGCACTGGCTTTGCAGCTCGTTGTCCTGCAGCCCCGTGAGAAAACGATTCATTCAACGCGAAAGAGCTGGAGACTCAGATTTTTGCTCAGAAACTACAGTAACAATCTAGGAACCAAAAGAATAGTACGGGGAGCTTCCTTGAAGAAGCGTGAGGCGTGAGCTATCGTTTAAGTAGCTATACAGTATATTAAACGATGGAACTTTCATTTACCATGTGTGACGCTTGCTCGCACTTGCTCAAGAGCTACTGGTGGAATTCAACATCACAAACTGGTGCACTCCTCAGCCTTCTTCCGGAACGAAAGCAGCCAACCTTGAATGGTGACATAGGTGGAACTTTGGGGGCGCCAGATGAATTGGGCTTGACCTTGAGTAGGCTTTTAGCTGACTTTAGCCATCAGCAAATCATAACCCACTCTTCCAGTGGCTCTGCCAAATGCTGCTGACAATGCTGTATGCGTTTGGTCTTGCCCTTCATGTGACCAAGCGTCTCTCTTTCTGCGCCTGCCAAATAGGCTGGTACCGCGCAGGCTCATCCTGGGCTGTCCCCAAATTGTCACTAAAGCATATCGTCAGCCAAAGCTCACAGGAATAGCACCATCTTACAGTGCTGAATTAGAATTACAGGGCACCTCTCTATCCAAAATATCCCAAGCAACCAATCACTGTCTTGTGTGACTGGTGAGAATCAGCTAGACCGTAACAAAATGGTTTTGATAAGCTAAGGCACTGATGCACTCCAACCACACTGCATGTGGTGATCCCTGGCACCAGCCACAGCCCTGTCCTGTGTGACAGGGCGCAGTCTCACTCTGCTTCAGAACACATTGGTCACCGTAAAGAATGGGATACGGATACTTATTCTCATTGGGATGGAGCAAGTTCCAAACAGTTTCACTCTTCATGCCTCCCTGTGCCGCACATGGTGAAACTTGCGCCCACCCAACTCCTGGCCTCCAAGGCCTAGGCTGTGCAACATCCCTCCTGGCCGCGGCGAAGTCATGCGACCGATCTCCGATTCGGCGAATCGAGGGCCAAAACCGTCGATTCGACATACGTGCCGAGGATCTCCTGTCCAAGTGTGACAAGCAAGGCCTGGCCAATCGAGCACACTCTCCCTGTCGTCTCTCCGACTCAGACTCTACCTGCTCTACCTACTGAGTCAGGTGTATATCCAAACACACACGCACAAAGATACACTACACCGCAAGTATCACAGACACGATCAAACGCGTTAATATCTCTCCGCTTACCTGGCATTACCCATTTGCCGAGCAAAATGTCCAGCCCAAAAATCGTCGGATTGAGCAAAGCTGCAAATTCAATTCAAGTGCCAAATGTTCAGCCAATTGACGCATCAATTTATATATACATAGTTTCGCGTATGTCATGTACCCTGCAAGAACTTGTTCACTTCGGCAAGGACTCACAATCTGATATCAACTGATTTGCAATATTGCACCCGAACATGTGTGCTTTCTTATCCTAGTGGGCAGCTCAACATCTCGTTTGCCGTTTGACTCTCATCCCCAATCTCCCCATGGGCACCTATCGCCGCTGTTGCTCGACAACAGCCCCAGCAGCATGCTGTTTCATCGAGCCCAAAATGCAAGGCCAAACAGGCATGCAATTCGTAGATATTCTCAATGCCAATGCTCACCGCTGGCACATGAATTCGGTGTTTGATCATTGGTTGCAGTCTGACAAACGTACCACATGAATTCGGCGAAGGATGTGGAGTAATACTTGACAAACACCCCTCTGCCACAAACATCCACAAACAGGCCGTGCCTCATTTTCTGAACTGTGTTGCAGTACAAGATGGAGTCTGACCTTGATGTCAAGCGACAAATTTCACTTACAAAACCCACCAACGAAGTCCAACAAAAAGACAATGGCTCGTGGGAAGACAATAATCCTCTGCACACACATATTTGTCCCCTTCTTTTTTCACTTCCATGTTGGTGAGTCAGAGTTTATCACTGATTTCTTTCTTGATAATGCATCGCAATGAAGAAGTAACACCGGTCTTGGGCAGCTTGAGGCCGTGGCACAATGTCAAACAGCATCATGAAGGGAAAAGCTATGGCCAAGGCCAGCAATGCCTCGCATGTCAAGCAGCCAGCACAGACTGGACAATGAACCAAAATGAACAACCGTGGCAATTTAGAACATGTGGCAGCTTCACTGCGAACAATAGTCGACATTGCCTCAGCTTGCATGAATGACTTGGTGCTCTGATAGTCCACACGCATGGTGCATTGGCAGCGCTCTTGAAGTGTGTTGTCACCTGGAACAACCATTCTGAGCATTTCTGAGCCATGTGCGCCAGCAACGCAAAGCAATTCAGGTTGCTGGACATAGTCAGGACTGGCCGCATCAATGCTTCTTGGAGCGGCTTGCATGCCAATAGTTTGATGATGCCTTGATTTTACCGAATCAGAGTGTCGAGAATGAGAATCGATCTGGCTATATAAGGCCCCCCTTATATAAGTGTCTCACCCGATTGGAAGTACCAACTCCAATTTAAGTCAATTTGACGTGAATCAAGTACAGCCAACTGACTTGCACAGTGGCAGTCCTTCGAAGGTTGTGAAAACGGTCAACAACCTGCCGAAACGTGCTCTTCAAATTTCACGGACTGAACCGTGTAGATAATCACATTGATTCACATTGACATGTTTCGCTGGAATGCTGTCGAAACATCCAAACCTTTGTTTTGCTCCTACCTGCTGGACTGCCAACAACAGAACATGTGAGACACGTGGCGCATTTATCATGGCGCGGACATCCATGGACTTCGCCGGCCAGCCGCCTGGATCTCCATGCCCATCGCCAAGTGGCCAATGGAAGCAATGGCAGCTGCGGAAGGAAGTGGAAGAAACGATCGGCATGAAGAAAATGCCGGGGGCGGGCTGGAACTCTATAAACTACAGTAACTACGACCTTACAAAAACTACAGTATGCGCATAAAACACGGAGCGCATTTATGAATGTGCATTCATAAAATATTTCTTTGCGTTATTATTGCAAGCCGCACCTTGCTTGACATGTGCAACAATATATCCATCAGTTGAATCAAGTTGTCAATGCGGATGCCCGACTCAAGACCTGCCTAGCCCAACGAGCTGAAAAAGCCATGTTGCCCCATTCAAGAGCGCCATTGCTGAAGCCTGCGCTTTGGCATTCGGACATGCAAACCGCCTCTGCATCTGGACTTTCTACGGTGGTCACCCACTGCCTCATGTTGCATTGCCAGGATGGCGTTGACGTGCTCAGATGCCTGAGGGCGTTAACGCAGCTAAACTCTCATCAAGCGGTAAGCAACACAGACTCGACTTCAAGACAAAACCTTACAATGTGAGCTGCAAACTGCAGCTGCTACAGCCCAGAAAGCAATGCCTAAACGGTATAAATCCCTGGAGATCCGTCCTGGCATGTTCTTGTTGGTCCAAGCCGTTTGCCAGAACAAATGACAAACAATCCTGCATGTGAGACTAAACACCCAACGCTTGGGCAGTCTGGAGGTCCGTTCGGCAGCTTTTTAGAGCTGAAACAGTGACTTGTGGAGGTTTAGAGGGGGGTGGAGGCCCTGCCTTGGCCATAAGAGCCGGAAATGACATTGGCAGCTCACCCATGATAAGCCCTATTGATCCTACTCTATTCTATGTATGTTCTATATTGTTCATAATTGTTGCATTCTAAAAGTGCTAATGGCTGTTTTGAGATGGGCCTCATTAAAGGCAGTTGCTTGCAGGCTCACATCCATGTAGGCATTCCTGCAACTGCGCATGAGTTGTCTTACCACAAAGTTCAACAATATGAGATGTCTGCTAAAGCTTTTGACGACGATTTGGAACAGGAGCAACCCTACCATTTAGAATCAACAAAACTGATTAAGGCAATTATTCAACAATTCTAAGTTCTACAGTAGCACACACACACAACACACAAACAGGCGTTTGTCTTGTTTTTTACTTCTGCTATGCATGTTCGGCTTTTCCTCTGGACATGAGGGCTGTTTCCTCCTCAAAGCATTCAGTGAACAATGGAACATACCTGCGCGTGGCCTGGACATCAGTGTGAAGAACCTTGCGACGCCACTGACATTTACGGACTGTTGTTGGTTCACGGTCCACGGAAGACAGCAAACATCAAGTGAACTCAAGTCTGCCAGAGATAAAGGATGAAATGGCCCGCCATGATGCAATTGGTGCAAAATGGAATCAGTAGCTTGCAGCTTCCAGAAAACCGGTTGAATCAAGAAGCCCTCGTGTTGTTTCAACAAAACTGCACGCAACACGACACAACCCTGCACATCCACAAGGAGCTCAAGAAGGGTGCTCAAACAAGGAATGCATGCAAAAACATGCAAAAACTATCAGAAACTGCCGTGCAGCATGACCTTGGTCAATTGAACATTTTGAACCTGGCCTTTTGTAGCAGCCCAAACAAGTGTCGCAGCAGCCACTGATCACGTAGCTGACCGGGTTGTACTGCCAAGCTCGAGGTGCTGAGCTAAGCGACTGGTGGGCTCTACATGTTTTGGAACCCTAGAAAGCCCCTCTACTGCTGGGCCCGCAAATTTAAGGCAACGCTTTTGGGGACTCGTTTTTGTGGGCCGAAACCGATCCTGAAACCGTTTTTTCATGCATCCGTACATTGAAGATGGTTGAAGGATGTTGAATGCAAGAATCCTGCGATATTCTTTGGCTGATCTGCTGGTCTCTATATCTACCAAAGGTAGAACCATAACAACAAATTGACCATTAACAATGATTGAAGTCCAGTGTCCAGCTTAATTTCCTTAAATCAGAAGACCTGCAGCACTGTGCAAATGGACATTGCGCCTGGTTTTGGCTGGCCTCAAGTAGCCAACCCAAAGTAAGACGGAAGGGCAAAGCCTCAGGTCATGTGGCAGCTTGGCCACTTGCTAATCATACCACATGTTTGATAATCTTTGTATATAGATCTTTTGATTTTAGAATGTCGAGGGATCTGGAGAAAACCCGAGTTCAGCTTCTCGCCAGGACTTGCTTCAAGCCGCCGCCGATGAGACCTCACGCAAGGCCAAGCAAAGCGGCGTCTTTTGGGGTGCAAGAATAGATCTCCTCGCTTAGTACTTTGCATTTGGGGGACACCCTTATGGCCGGGCCCGATGGTGAGACGCGAGGGCGAGTCGTAGTATTTGTCCTCCCAGTGGAGGCGATCGAGTTGAATTGAGGACTCCAGGACATGTTGATATGTTCCAACAAGCATTTAGCGTGATGTCAGTCGAGTCCTATATTATACCAGCACGCCCTTAAATCATTAAATCACAATGAGCATCTTGCTTGTAGTGTCGTGATAGACATTTGTAGAGGCTCTTGCTGCCAAGTGACTCCCCAGGTGATACCTGATGCCCACGCAGCCTGCCCTCGGTGAACGAATGCAAGCGGGTGGAGGTGTTACGAGCCACCATTCGATCTAGCTGTAGCTAGTTAGTTACACACTAGCTGTAGCTTCTCCTGCAGAACCGTGACAGGCGACAATCAGCCTGAAGACAGACAGCACTGGAGCAGAGCCGGTGCCACCTTAGGTGAACTTCATTGGATCTTGGACGACGAAAAGGGTCCCGGCGCTTCGCCATAGAACGCATGGCTGTTAACTTAACTCTGTTCGGTAGTTGGCACTACAGTGGTGGGCAAGCATGTTTGTGAAACACATTCCAATCCTCCGTTCTTGGCGGAAAAAGTATATATATATATGTGATATATAATATACACAAACACAAGCACACACTATATTATACATAAATATAATATAAAATTATAGTGTCAATGTATATCCTCACTTGACCAAGCGTCGAATACCCCCAGAGAAGTACCACATCTGGCCTGAGCAATGTCCCCCATGAGATGCAAAGAAAAACAAGCAAACGGCATCCTCTTGAACTGTACAACATGACATGGATCACAGCTCATGTTGTTTGCTACAGTGTTCTATATAACATGTTTTGCTTCTCAAAGATTAGCAAAACATATTTGAAAGGGACATAAGGTACAGAAACTTGTGGCCTGAACTTATGATGCATTGGCAATAGCAACAGTATGTAGTAGCAGTAGCAGTAGGAGGAGTAGCAGCAGCAGCAGCAGTAGTAGTAGTAAAAGTAGCAGTAGCAGTAGTAGCAGCAGCAGTAGTGGTAGTAGTAGTAGTAGTAGTTGTTGTTGTAGTTGTAGTAGTAGTCGTAGTCGTAGACGTAGTCGTAGTAGTGGTAGTAGTGGTAGTAGTCGCAGTAGTCGCAGTAGTCGCAGTAGTAGTAGTAGTAGTAGTAGCAGCAGTAGTAGTAGTAGTAATTGTCGTTGTTGTTGCTGCTGTTGTGGTAGTAGTAGTAGTTGTTGTTGTTGCTGCTGTTGTTGTTGTGCTTGAACATCTGTCACACACACACACACGTTGAAACTCAGTCACCAGACTGGTGTAGAGCTGCACAAAATGGGTCCAGGCCGTAATCAAACCTGCAGTGACAACTTCAAGTCTGTCATGGGAGGAGTCCATACAAACACAGGGCAAAAGTGCAATCTTTAAGACTTTGAGACGTGGTCATCGCTATTAGGTTGGAGGCCCCGCTGCTAGGCTGGAGGCCATCGCTTTAGGCTGGAGGCCATCGCTATTAGGTCGGGCAGCACTTGGCAACTGAATGCGACTGAAGACCGGTCTTACAGGCTGCGCTACTAGCTGCACTCGAGCAAGCTGGATGTGACACGCAGGCCTTGAACCCAAAGGCCCATGAAGATGGTGCCAACTAAACACCTCAAATTGGTGCAAGCAAACAAAAGGTCAACTTGATACAAACAAATGCATCTGCCTAAATGACAAGTTTGGTACTACATCTTTCTGGAGCAGTGATATCCTCCCAAGTAGGGAACACAGGGTCACTTCGTCGAGCCTTCCTGATCTGACGGCTTGGCTTCGTCCAAGTTGAGCCAAGCTACACCCACTCTAGCGGCGAAAGATCTATAGCCTGCGCCATCCAATGAACATCCTGAGCTGTGGCAATTATGGGCTGAGCATGTTGGAAAGCCAGCCATCACATGTCTTTGTATTTTGGCAACATCTACAGGATGGCTTTCTTTGTGCAAGTTTGACAAGCAAATTTTGAGATCGTGACCGTAGAATACTCCGTTGACGAAGATTTTGTGGCCCAGCTGTACTTGCCAATGCCTTACGGGCAAATCTTGAAGCGGACACAAGCAACCGCTCCACCCTCTGCCACTCCAGCTGTACAATCAAAGTATATATGCCTATCTGTCTTCGAATCCTCACCTGTCTGAACAACCACAATGCCTCTGTAGTTAAACCCTGAAGGAAAAAAAAAACTTCTGGCAGCTTCTCAAAGCTTGACCGCTGACCACCTGAACCCCTCTTCACATCTGAACCTCGGCCCGCCTTTGGATGCTAACATGAGGCACACCTGAGTGCGACAAGACGGTGTTCCAAGGCGTTAATCACCTCGCACTCTCTCCTGCACTTTCGCATCCGAAACACATTTGCATTTGCACCATGCTGCACCTTTCTACCGTCGTTTGTGAGGATCCTTAGAGTTTCACATCAAGTCAATCTGTCTTCCAAGCGCCCCTGCATAAATGAAGCCATAGAGACTAACACCTTGGCTTGGGAGCCCCCTAGACGGGATGGTGAAAAAAATGGACATTCTGCGATACCAACATATGCCAACCGTATATTTAGTAATGTAAACTACCAGAACTGCTACCAGAATATATAAATATAATATATATATATATTATCGATATATCAGATATTTTACTAACACGAGTCGACCATGGTTAAATCACTCACCTGGCTGATGGCACCTCGCAGTGCTAACGTCGTGGGCGGTAGCAACGACAAGCTGGGTGTCGCGAGGATGCACTTGCAGGACCTCACGGAAGAGCACTGAAACTCTCAACATCGGCTCAAACAGGTGCTGTACATCGGCTCGTTTGGCAATCAAACTGCACAAGATTGTCCTTCCAAACTGGAGCGAACAAGGAAGGACTCTTTTTTCAGCGAACAAGGAAGGGAGCAAGGGCCAAGGCCAGGAGATGCATTTCACCGCCTGCCAGTATCGAGCAGCAAAGGCTTCGGCTATGTCATGATGAGTTCAGGGTATGTCTCCACGTTGAACTGGAATTGAACGGTTGCAGCACTATGGAGCAAGCAAGGTCCATCAAGTTCTTAGGGCAATACGAATACTAACTAACTCACTGCTTGTAGGCGGCATGACTGCCGAGTGTGAATAAAAGGCTGTGCTACATGTTCCTTTTTGCCTCACGGGCTCTCCATGTACATGGCATGCTGGGAGCAACTGACAAGACCTAGCAGGAACCTCCGTTCGCACACTGACGTTCGCACCGTCTCCATCCATGCACTCATCTGACAACCAATCCATAGGAAAATAAACCTGCGCTGCGGCCACTTTATGTCACTATGTCACTGGATGCGTCCGAATTGGACTTGTCAGGTTGGAACGCAAGAACCGGCTTTCCAGACCCGCCAAAAGGGTCTGAATGCTCCGTGAATTTCTGAGTCCAAACGGAGCATCTCTCTGTCTCTGAGCGTCCGACCCTAGCACCAGCAGCGACCAGGCAGCTATTGACTCCTTCACAGTTGCGGCGACCAGCTAGTCGACCATAGCACACGGTCGGGCCAACAGGGAGTCATACAACGTCGCTCCTCTGCAGAAGCTCCTTCACTGATGCCGCAAAGATCCGTCCTGAACGGTTCTGGATTCAGTGGGATTGTGTGGGCGTTCTGTCAAAAGCCTTCAACCTCACTTACTTCCGCCTGCAAATTCAAACCATGGACATGCCGGTGCAGCCTCTAGAATCTAATACAATCTTGCAATGTCCTCTGCGCATCCTTCCGTGAGCACCTCGTGCCAAACGCGCAACGCAACTTTGAAAGGCAACAAGCTCAGCTGCTATGGCTCACAAGGACAGCTCAGGTTTCTGCAAACAAAACTCACACAATACCGCTGTGGGGAATCAACCCATGTATCACTTCATGCAGCACTTCATGCAACGCCTTCTCGTTTTGGCCGACCTGCGCCGCACGAATCGCTTTTCCACATCACTTGGCAACACACCCGGGTCACACCGGTCACCGATTCGATGGACCTATCGGGGCGTCTCAACAGCCCACGGAGGCAGGATGTGCCATTGCTCTGTCCTTGCCAGCTGCCGTCCCCTTTGCTGCACCAGCTGCCTTGTCCTTGTCCTTTCCAGCCGTCTTGCGCATCACTTTCTCGGACAAAAACTGCTTGAAAAGAGGGCTGTTGACATCGTAGATCATGGCTCTGATCTTGACACTAGGTCACGAAACGCGGGGAAACGAGAGCTTGAGCTTCCTTTGGGCCAAAGCACTGTTCTCGATCGATGAGGTCTGGAGAACCCTGACCCTTCAATCTTGAAACATCATCAAAGGTCACTCTAGTCTAGCTTCAATCCCTCCAATAGTTCCTGTCGCCTGAAACTAAGTGTGCAGAATCACGATATCCAACCTTGCTTTGGATAATTTGTATGCAGTACCAAGGATTCCGCCAGAACAGGTATGCTGAGCTTGCAAAGGATGCCGTCTGGACACGGTGGCAGGACACACAAAAAACGCACACAGTCACTACAAATCTAAATCCCATGCATTTCTGTATATGTCTGTTCCACAAGCAGCAGCAAAGGGGAAGAGAAAACATGAGAAAACCATCTTCAAACGAGATAAATTGGCCACCGCTTCGGTGGCTCATTATATAGCATTTGCTTGGACAAGCCGGCGACCATCAACATGTTGGGCTTTCCAGAAGAGGCGCTGGATATTTGGCAATCAATCCATCATGTAAGGTGCACCTGCATGCATACAAATTGTGAATGGCACAAGCCGGGCACACGACCACGATCAGGACGCCAGCCCTTAGCGGAAGATGGACACGACATGATAGTCCTCTAGACGCGCCCGTTGGTGGCTCATGATCAAGCCTTCCCGCACAACAAGCAACTGCATAATTGCATGTGAGAGCACAAAAACAATAATTCAAACACCCACTCTACAGGGCCATACATACCTAGTCCCTGTCTTACTGCAGAAAATTTCAGAAACATGCACTGCCATGTGAAGTTGCATACTGCACCTGCTTCAATGGAAGTTTGTGTGGAAGCTTGGTGGGAGGGGGAATGGATGCGATAGTCAGAGTGACCTGGGACTTGTTGTGAAAATAGAAGCTAAAACAAAGGAACATAAATCGGTGCTTGCGTCTCTTTTGTAAGGCCCCTGTACATGGGGCCCGACGAAAGGGACTCAAACCTTCTTATATATACTAGGTTCTAATGACTAAGGAGTTAACGGAGGTACGTCAAAATTAGAGCGTTCCAAGTCATCAGGCAAAGTAAATCTGGTAGAAAGCACGTTTGGCCTAAGTCATCAGGCACAATATTGCAAAACAGGACTTCTAGAGCAGGTTTGAAAAAAGAACTTAAAGCGATGAAAAACAAGGATTCCGGACAATGACAAAGGACCTGTGCTGGAAACCTGTGTTTGAAAACTGCCATAGGAACCAAGGGGTGTTGAAAAAGGTGCCAACTGCTCATGTCATGATGCATGTGATTTCTCTCTGACACATTGATTTCAGCATATTCAGCATATTCTATTTTTTTGTTTTATTTTTTGATTGCTCCCTCAGGGGGGGGTAAAGGCATATAGACACGCCTTGTGACCAGGCACATGACTCAGGAGTTGGCTATCCCAGCTGACTATGTCACTAGAACCGTAAGTCCTATGTCACTAGACCCCAGTATATCTTTTTTGTAGGCCCGATGAGAGAAGAAGAAACTCACCTCCGCCGCCGGAACTTCGCTCGTTTCACTCCGCTCCAGCTTTGGGACTGCAGAGTGCGGTGGTGCTCCGCTGCACGAAGTATTGAAAATGCCAGACTCCAAGAGCCAAGGAAGTTTGTCTCAAACATGGCAACCATTTGATCAAAACTTATCCAAGGTATGGTTGATGTCCAGTATTTCCTTGAGTTTCCAGGTTTTTGAGACAAATCCATCTGTTTTGTCACCGATGTTTCAACGGAGGCAGCCCTTCGATTGGCACTTGTGGCTCAGGGGCCTGCACAAACATCGCTCAGCTAAGACGCCTGAATGCATGCACGCATTGTGCCCCGTGCTGGCTGGGTGCTTGCGGGGGTCCTTTCTTAGCCTACGCAAGAGGGGAGCAAAACAAACAGCGCCAATTCTCCGTCCATGGGGGGGGGGCAATGGTGGCCTTGCTGCGGCAAAACAACCTTCGAATGCTCCAGGGCCAGGCCCAATACACACTACCTTCACTTCGAAGCAGTTCCGTTTCAACAGTGTCTCATGAAAACAAATACGTTCCAGGAAAGAAAGTACAATGGCAGCAACCATAAGTGCGACAACAAACGACTTGCAATTCTGGTTGAATATGATTACACAAGGCACTTGAGATCCCGCAGGATCTTTCACAGGCATACCAAGGTCTGCCCCAATTGCACTGTGCTTGGTGCCCTGTCACTACAGCACCCAGTCAACGGAAGCCCAACAGTACAAGGCTTTGTGGACAATCTTGCCGGCAAGAATCGTGAAATGTCCATGCCGCCTCTTCTTCCTGAATTCATGGTCAGTTAGCGCGGGCAACCACCATGAGATTGTCTAAGATATCTTTTTAACTTTATTTTGCCTGGGAATCGACCTCCATTTGATCCACGTGTTATGGGTCTGGGCTCCGATGGGCTCCGAGAGGATCCCGGCACAACGTCTGCCCTCGTGTGGGTTGACGAACGGCAACTTGCGGACAGGTCACCACGGCAACAGGAAATAGTGCAGGGAAGGGCTCGAAAAGGAAGCTCAGAAACGGCAGCTGAGCCTCGAAAGGGCCCCTCAAATCATCTGCAGTATTCTGCAGTATGTTTAAAATAACCACAGTAGACTTTGTAGCGATAAGACTGCGTCGACCCAAAACAGTATTTTGACCCTGACTTCGGCGAATCGCGTCTGGGGTTTCGACCACTGGGTGGCCCTCGACGCAAAACCGATCAAACTTGAAGCCAGGGGGAGGAGGTCGAAAGCTAGCCGAATCGCACCGGATGTACTAGTGCCGGAACGAGGGGTAAGCATCACAAGGACTGTGCATACACTAGGGCGTCCGTAGTGTAGGATAAGCACTAAGCACTGGTAAAAGGTATCAAGAATAGAGAGTCTTGAGGAAATAGCCAGTGTATGGTTATAGCAAGCCTGGGGGGTAAATTTACCACCCGCTTATGCATGCATTAGGTTAGAAATAGGGGTAAACAACTTGTAACGGTGAAGTACAAGTCCTATGCAGCAAGCAGAAGCCAGCAGCAGCAGCAGCAGCAGCCGCCTGCAGCCAGCAGCCAGCAGCAACCGCCAACCAGCAGCCAGCCAGCAGCACCACGCAGCAGCAGCGCAGCATCAAGCCGCAGCAGCAGCAGCACCACCGGCAGCAAGCAGCAAGCAGCAAGCAGCAGCAGCAAGCAGCAAGCAGCAGCAGCAGCAGCGGCGTCGTCAGCAACAGCAGCAGCAGCACCAAGCCGCAACAAGTAGCAAAGCAGCAGCTACAAAAGCGGCAACCAGCGGCAGCAGCAGCAAGCAGCAGAGCGGCAGCAGCAGCACCGTTTACACCAAGCCACCGTTTACACCCAGCCAACCACGTTCACACGTTCAACCAACCCCCTACACGGCGCGCAGCTGGGAGTCGAACCGTGGGGGGGGGGGTTGTAGGGTGATATATCACGCTAAGGGGGGGGGGCCTGGCCCCCCCCTTAGTGTGATATATCAAGTTTTAAGGCACACAGCTCATCCCACTACCAATTGCTAAAGCAAAGAAGAACTCAGCTAGCATGCTAGCTTTCGTGACATTTGGCCCCGTGATTTTTTTCTGCACACGGGCATGCCGCATGCCTCGATAAAGCTCGCTACCCGTTAAAGAGCATAGTGAAGGTGATAGATTGAACAAACATTGACGAAGATTCGGGTTGAAACGAGACCTAGAATGCCAGGCCCATTGACCATGGCCAAAGCGGCCAACGCAAGAGCACATACCAAACCCGAACAGGATAAGACAAACGAATGCCACCAACGAAGCCGGACAAGAATCCAAAAACCAAAGTCCTAAAGCAAGGAAATCCTTTTGTAAGGATAGATCCGCAGCGCGCAAGCTTTAAGAACAGAGGTGAACATAACACGGAAATGGCACACTGCTTTGTCAAAAGAACCATTCGAAATCAACCACTCAACATCACTGCTCTGAGTGCAAAAGTCTAGGAACACCAATACCCATGGGACTCGCGAACATTATTTGTGTGGTCCAAAACCAATAAAAAACGTTCCAAGTATAACGTGATTGAATGCAGAACCTTGTTAGTCATAGACCGGTGATGAAACGTTTTGGGAGCTATGTTTGGGACTATGGAGGCTGATGCAAGCCGTGGTGGGTCCTTGGCCCCCCCAATTTATTAGCACATTTTTTTCAAGCGAAACCGACGCCGGGGTCTGAAGGAGGGCACTGCGTGGAGCCGCTGATGGCCAGCAGGAATATCACACTATTCTTCGCCGCTGCGTTTGAAAGGTGCATGTTTGCTTCAACCATGACGAGTCCATAGTGAAGCAATCGTACACTTGCAACTGGCTTGGTGGATGCGCCAACGAGCCCAGAGATGTATATGCCAATTCAATATACAGTAATCTGATATAGCTGCATCATTATAACTTGAAGGCCGCGGGGTGGGACAAGGGTCAAGCGAGATGAGGGAGTCTATCTAGCTTAGGACTCTTGTTCAATTGCAGCTTCATTATTGTTGCACCGAGCGGGGCATCAATAAAACAAGGTGGTAACATATATAACATGTGGTATCTACGGCGGCTACAAATCAACAAATCAAGCGTATTCTAGAGACGCCATTGGTGTGTTATTCTAAAAAGCGGCAGCGCTCCTATTTGTACCACAAAATGCGTCATTTCTTCTTATAAGGCATCATTTTTCCCTCCAAGCACTTCGATCCCCGAACCAGTTCCTGACGAACAACAAAAATAGTCAAGCGTGACTCAAACTGGATTATTATATAGGTGGTCTAGGAGTGGGGCCTCTTAAAGGATTCGATTCGAACTTCTGACCTTCCCAGTCACAATACTTCTGACCTCGCCAGTCGCGATTGAAGGCCGGACATTGTGGAAAGGTGGTCAGCCAAAAGTGCTGGTACAAAGTTAGTGCATGTTAGTGCATCAAAAATACCTTCCACGAAGTTCTGCAAAGGTTTCTGGGTGTTTGTTACGTTTAGTAGTTTTCCTACTGGCCTACCATTCCAGGAAACGTCCACGAACAGCCCCTGGTTCCACGAATGCCCTGGGCCTTCCACAAAGTTAGTAGAATAGATTTTTGCAATCCCCTTTCTGTGCACCCGTTTGCCTCTAAACAACTGCTGCAATTAAAGCAAAGAAAACTCAGGTAGCTCAGGCGACCTTTCTTAATGGGACGTGTTGTCTTTGGGCATCATTCAATGCCATTGTGACAAAAGAGTTCTCGATTGAGTGCCCATTCTGCTAACATACATGGCTGTGAGTCGCGTAGTTGGCTCGTGCTTGTGGGGGAGCATGAAAAACAAAACAGCTCAAAAAGCTTACTGGAACAATTAGGCTTTGATGCAGTCCACACACATGTCACATTTAAATATAAGCATACATACCTTGCCGAGAAGCTCTTTTCGGCGTGTGTATCTCCTGAGAGACCTGGGCAACATTTCTAGTACACCGGGCAAGTTTCTGAAAAAACACAACCAAATGTGTCATGAACCAACTCATGTGCACCTTTGCGGTTCAGGTCTGGTGCAAATTTGTCAGGAAAAGACTAGCGTGGCACTTGTTCATAGTAGCTTCTTGTT